GTATGGTTTAAATAGATCCTATATGCGACAGAGAAAGAGGCCCACGCCCCCCCCAATTCATATACATTACGAAGACATACGAAGATGACGAAGACAGATTTTAAAGAAACACGGGACTTTGCAAAATACAATCTGTTTGGTGCTTGGATTACTTACCGTACTTTTGGAAAAGATTGGGAAACACATGCCCGCATAGTCCCCCACTATCCGATCATCCTCGAATTAGATTGCTGAGAAGTTAATGCAGAAACCAAAATAAGAGTTCATTCATGTTCATTCTGATTTGTCAAACTCAGGTTTTCCAGATCCTGCCAGGGCTCTATCTTGGTTCCCAATTGGGGGCGTCCAAGCTGACAGTGATCGAGCTTTGTGACATCTCCTTGGTGCTCAACTTGACCAGCACTTGCCACAGAGATCGAACATCGACGCATATCGATACACCATCGAAACCGTCAACATGTTGTGCCGCTTTGCCGGAGCTTACTCGCTTTTATATCATTTGATATTCACAACTCCCTCATTCCCAGGCGGCCATGCAAAAATTCCGAATCATTTCGAAGAAAGATGCAGGCGGGATCCATGGTGTAAGTTCCAATCAATGGCCTCAATATCCGAGACGGCAGGATTATTTTTGTCAGGCATTTGCTCACCTGACACTTGAAAGATCTTGAAAGCAGTGACTGCGCTTTGCGCCTTTATAGTCTACTGCGCCTCTTTTGTTGGTTATAGATCAGGGATTGAACCACAACGAGTTTGGGCCTTCGGCCTTTGGTCGATGGAAAAGCTGCTTTGACAAAGACAAGTTGATTTTCGAGGTACTTGAACTTTGAAGTCGTCGATCAGCCGGGTGAGGACATATTGAGTCATGCTATCCGCGAAGGTGTGAAGGACGGACTGCGACATGGTGCCAAATGTCCAGGCATTGCATGTAACACGTTGGACCCAATCCAAGCAGCCTTTGCGGCAAGAGTTCCAACCCTGACAATTTGGTCGGTCGTGGTGCTGTGGCAGGAGATCCAGTCAGCCTTGGAGACCAAAATGTCGGCCGGAGACCGAGGTTGCTGACTTGTTGGCCACTGCTTGAGAACGCTGGAACGTGTTGTGTTCCAACTTGCAGCCTGAGTGCAGTCAGGAGATTGTGGAGCTTGTCACTTGCTGTCTACATGTCACAACATTTGCATTCTGTTGGGATACTGGGCCCCGCAAACAAGGTACAAAGCAACGGCATGAATGGCGGACAACAAATTGTATGGTATAGATGAGTCTGACATTGGACATGACATGATTATATCATATATTGCATTCATTGTTGGTTGCGACTGCCAAGCTGGCAAGAAGCCGATCAAGGCAATGGTTCATTGTGCTGCGGGTTTAAGCCGATCAGCAACGGCATCCAGGCTGAACCATTCGTCGGCAGTACAAGAGGTGATGTTTGTTAAGGGCCGGGTCCCTCCTTGGTTTTTCGGCCGAACAGCCTTTGTAGTAATTTTGCTGGCTGGGCGCTACGGTTTGGGGTCAAGAACACGCGTCCCCCCATAGAGACCAAATACATCCAAATACACTTGACAATGCGAGGATTATATTGTCATATATAGATATATTGTCGTACTTGTGTACCAGAGACAGAAACCTCTTCGGTTGAAAGAGGATTGTCTCGGGCAACTCTACGGAGCAGGGTTCAAATGTAAGTTGGTTTCTTACCTTGAAACAATTTGGCGAGAGTTAGTTTGCACATATCAAGAAACGTCAACCTCGCGACATGCTCTGGGCCTAGCCGTTGGACAGACAACCAAGGATTTGCTGCTCTATGTTAGTTGTGTGCCTTGTTGTTGCTGCTGGGGTGGTTTTTGCCACCTGGTCGGAAACCGACGGTGTAGTCGTGCCAATTTGCAATTTTCCGACCCGGTGGCCATGGATGTCAATGTTATGTAGAGATCATGATGATGATGATGAGTTGTTGATGTGACAACAGAAGATTCTACGGGAGGTTCGGGAGGGGGGTTGGGGGGGGCTGGTTTTGTTCGTGTGACCAGTAGAACACGATGATGATGATGAGTTGTTGAGTATTTGTCATGGATTCTAGTAAAGCACAATGGTGATAGATGATAGATGGAGGCTAACCAACACAAGGGACTCTCCAGAAGGCAGGTGTGAAGGGTGAAGCATTGATGTAGTATATGCTAACGAAATAATATGCGACTACCAACCGTTTGGAAGCACGAAAGGGTCAATGGGTTGAGTCAGTGAAGCATTGACGACGTCAGCATGGCGGAATTGATGCAATGTGGACTCACTTGAAAGAATATGCACCGAAATCGCTCTCTTCGAAATCGACGCAGATAGAGCGAAGGATTCGGTCGTGGCAGTGGCACTTCATGCGCACAGGACATGTGAAGACTGCGGCAAACAGAGCGCACATTTTTCGTTGCCGTTCCTATGGGCGTTTCAACAAATCCGAAAAAAGGAGTCACGAAACGAGACCCCGAATAAAAACAATTGGTCAATTCTGTCACAAAACACTGGGTTTTGTAGGGAACACAGTCAGGCTCCGTGCATTGATCACACCCTTTGACACAAAACGTGTGGGTTTTTGCAAGGTTTTTGTGGCTTGGGTGACTTCCACATGTTCAAAAATGCACACAACTATACCTTCAGTTTCCGACCTGGAGGCTTGTGTTTGTTGTTGTTGTTGTTGTTGGCAGTCAGCTGGCTGTTGGTTTCCTTGGGCTTGTTCGGACCTTTCAACTTTTGCCATGTCAACCAAAAGCAATTTTTCTACAAGGCCGTGAACAACTATATACAGTAACTAAAACCTTTTCAGTCAGATTTGTTTTGTGTTGTCCAGCTGGCCTTGTTCCCTTCATTGTTGAACTGGGCAGCCAATGCACAGTTGAAGGAAGCAATGCGCGGATTTCTGGTCCGAAAGCAACTACAACAAACAACGAGCAAACAAGTGTACCCGATATAAGCAGGGAGGCAAAAGGGGTCGCACAACTGCAGACTAGCGTCAGCCGTGTTGTCATGTTGTAGGACAGGTGTTGAGGGTGTTGGTTTCCCGAATGTTGGGAGGTCAGCTGTGCAGATGGAATCATGATGATCATGATGTCACTGATTGAATTCTGAATTAACGTACGTACATACAGTACTAATTATATAGTGGTTCGTTGAAGGCACCATAGTATAAATCCTGCGGGACGAGCACAAACTGTAAATCGTGCATTCTATCGTATCAGTGTTTGACTGTTATGTATAGCAGTCGAGGCACCTAATTTGGAGCGGGATTTTGGGAGTGTGCTCAAGTCAGGAGGATGCTTGCATAAGTGGCTGTCATGCGATAACGGCTCGCTCTTGGAATTGCAATTCTTCCATGTCATCGAGGGTGAAGATTACAGGGGAAGTTATATATGCTTATTTCGGTCGGGTGCGGGGGAGAATGGTAGGTCATGCTGCAGTTCGGTAATTACTCGTTGCACCAAGTTTAGTGTGATTTGGGATGGGGAAAATTTATATAGCGACTCGGGCAAGATGGGCGATGATCACGTTCAGTGTTTTTGCATGTCTACACAAAACGGCGATCGTTGTCTAGGTGGCTAGCGTTATATGGTGGGTGGTAAGGCCTTGTTTAGTGGAGGATTTTACTGGCACACTGGCATCAGCATGAAGCGTAAACAAGAGCAGTGCTCATGATTGCGAAAAAAAAGGGTGCAACTTGTGCAACTTCTCAAGGCTTGGGCATCCGAAGCCACCTGCCAAAAAATCAACATCAGAGAACAATAAATCGATGCCTCTCAGAAGTGTGAGAAGGACACCAGCGAGGTCACCCTTTTTGACCCCGTGAGAACCCGAGAGAACCTGTGGACCTCGGATGACCCCATAGAAACATTTGCAGTATGAGGGCTTCGATTTTTGCAGGGCTCCTTGCCACAGTCTCACGGTTGACGGTTGACTTGCTTTTGGAACGCCAGAGCTGCAGGCTCACAGGTTGGTCGCCTTTGTATTGCGTGGTTGCTTGCATTCTTTTTTGTGTTTGTTTTGCATTTCTTTGTCCCATTGCATTTCCCCGCTGCAATCTTTCTTTGGGATATTTTTCATGGTTGCTTTCGGTGCAGCGAGCCTATATACAAGTGGGCAACACAAACATAGTTAGCTCCAAAAGACTTGCCTGACACCACAAACTGGCAGAATGCATGGCAACAACAGGATTCGTGTTGGCGTGTTGGCAATCATTGGCATGTGGATTGTTCTCATTTGAGTCTGAGAGTTTGATCTCGAGCTGGGCCTTACCACTTTCGGGGGGTCATTTCGCTGTTGCCTTGCTGAGCTCTCAGGTCGTCGTCGCTTTCCTCATGTATCAAGGCAGAAGTCTCTCAGAAGCAGTGGACCAGGTCACGAGGTGCAGGGGAAGACGTTTGCGCATCAACCCTTCGTTCTGGATGGTTCCTCGGCCGAAGTGCGGAACTAG